GCGAAATGAATTAAAGCGACTTATGCATGCGTATAAACGTAGTAAATGATAAATACTGCAAAACGGTTTGAAGTGCATATATAAGAGTTAGGACATTTGCGTACACACAAATGTAAGTACATACGAAGATGTGGCCAAAGAGAACGTAAATACGCAGATCATACCGTATGCAGGGGGTACTTTGACAACACTTAAACATGAAATAGATACATCGAACATGCTAAAAGCCAAACGGGCCGCAACATCCCGGGCCCCGTGAATCAGCCCGATTCACCACATTCAGTGTCCAGGATCGCCAGCTTGGATACTGCTCTCTGCTTTACACCACCAGTTGTTCGGACGTCGACTCGCCTAATCTCACCATCATGCCCAGGGTAAACATGCTCTACCTTTCCACGGCACCACTCACGTCTTGGTACGTTAGGGTCGCATATAAAAACTAGGTCCCCTTCTTGTATAGGCTTCGCTGGTTGACACCACTTGACTCGCCGGGTCAATGTTGGCAAATATTCGGCTATCCACCGCTTCCAAAAGTGGTTCCTCAACTGGCGGGCAATTCTCCATTGCTGACGTAGTACGCAAACCTTCTCCAGTACGCTCTCTGCGGTTGGCGTATGTGCATCGTTCGGCTCACCCAGAAGAAAATTGTTAGGTGTAAGGGGCTGCTCTTGGTCGACGGATATAGGCAAATGCGTCAGAGGCCGGGAGTTTACGATGTTTTTCGCCTCAATCAGGAAGCAGTTGAGCGTGTGCTCCTTAGGCGCTGTCTCCTTCAAGGTTTGGCGTAACACCCTTTTGACGCATTGCACTAATCTTTCCCAGACGCCTCCTTCCGATGGATTAAACGGGGAGTTAAATATCCACTCAACTCCCTTGCTGGTTAGCTCATCTTGAATGCGGCTGCAGTCGAACACCTCACGGAAACGTTTGGCTTCCCTTTCTGTGCCGACAAAGTTCTTACCATTATCGGAACGTAGACGTATAGGCACACCACGACGATTCATAAAGTTTCGTAGAGCAACAATGCATGAGTCAGTGCTCAAATCATGGGCCAGCTCTAAGTGCACCGCTCTCACCGTCAAACAGGTGAAGAGCGCCACCCACCTCTTCTCAGTACTGCGACGAATGGTAACAGCTATCGGGCCGAAATAGTCTAGTCCCGTATAGCTAAATGGCCTTATATATGGCGTGAGCCTGTCAATTGGTAGCGGCGCCATTTGAGGCGGTTCAGGCTGTACTTTTCTTAAGCGGCACTCCAAACAGTGCGTGATTACGCTGCGTAGCAGAGTTCGTAGTTGTGGGATCCAATAGTGGCGTCGTATCTCGCATATTGTAGCCTCAGTTTTCTGGTGCCGCATAACTTTATGGTAGTGCATCACAACCAGTTTCGCGAAGTAGTGCTTTGGCGGCAATATGATGGGGTGTCCAGAGCTTATGGGCAGCCAGCTGGCGGCGTCGATGCGACCATTCACGCGGAGCACACCATCTTTGTCTATATATGGCGAGAGCTGTAGCAGCGCGCTGTTACGTGCGATATTTTGGCCGTTCTGTATCTGCTGAAATTCTGCAGCGAATACCTCTCGTTGAACAAGGCGGCACAATAGCTTCTTGGCAAGTTCGACTTCTCGCGCAGTCAACCCATATCGATTGTCTGCCTGAACACGGAGACGGCAAGTGTCCATAAAGCGCAATACCCAGGCTGCAACTCTCACCAGTTTTGTCAAGGAAGAAAAACGTTTAAAATCAATTATATTATAGTTAACGATTACCAGAGCGTATTTAGGGCGTAGTTCTTCATCATGCTCGTCTTCGCTGGCTTCGCTGTTGCTCGGAAATCAAGGCGATTGTTCGCGCGTGTAGCTTCGTCGGCGACATTGAGTTCAGTTGGTAACCACTTCCAGTTTGATGAGTTGGTAGCGGCCAATATTTCCGCTATCCTGTGCTGAACGAACGGTTTGTAGCGACGATGTTCGCTCCTAATCCACTTGACCACTGTCTTGGAATCGCTCCACAAAGTACACTGGTTGACGTCTAGAGAATGCTCCTCTCGTATACAGCTCATTAGGCGAGTTCCGAGAACGGCCGCTTGGAGTTCAAGACGAGGCACAGTTAATGACTTTATTGGAGCGCACTTTGACTTCGCGGAAATGAACGCCACTTCGATCTCGTCACTGGAACTTTTCGACCTCCAATAGGCGACGGCGGCGAAGGCTACCTCACTTGCGTCGACAAACACGTGAAGCTGTAGGGTTTTCGGCATACCCATGCGAAAATAGAACCGCGGAATAGTATACTCTACAACAGTAACCAGCTGATTTCGCCACTTCTACCATGCTTCGTTGATGCTAGTCGGCAACGGCTCATCCCAACGAATGTCGTGCCTCCACACCTCGCGCATAATCAATTTGGCTCCGATTACAAAATTACTTAAAAACCCTAAAGGGTCAAAAATGGACATCACGATGCTGAGGAGCTCTCTCTTGGTAGGAGGCCTCGACCCATATACAACCGCTGCGTCCACGTTATGAAATTTTAGCTTGAACCCAAAGCAATCGGTTGAGGGCTGCCAAAATAGTCCGAGGACTTTTTCCACCAACAAGCCCTCCTTCTTCGAGATAGGTCGCTTACCCTCGTCACCATCCAGCTCTTTTATTACCTTCCGTGAGTTTGACGTAAAATTTCGAAGCTCGAATCCGGCGTTCATGTGTATAGCGCGCACTACCTGCGAAACGGCGATAGCTTCTTGTACTGTACCGAAGCTATAAACCATGTCGTCCACATAGTGATGGTCTAATATGGATTTTACTGCACGGTCTACGACGGTGTTTCCATTCCGGTGTTCTAACGCGTTGACGGTTTTGGCGTAGTGGGCAGCACATGGCGAACATGCAGCACCAAATGTCATTACGCACATTTCGAAGACTTCTGGCTTCCTCGTAGCATCACCTCCTCGCCACAGGAATCGTTGAGCGCATCTATCTTGCCGCCGCACCAATATTTGGTGGAACATTTCTCTCACGTCCGCTCATACCGCAACTGCACCTTCGCGGAAGTGGAAGAGAATGGACGGCAACGACTTGTAGTCCTGTGGTCCCTTTAGTAGATGCGTATTGAGTGAAATACCCCCCACCTCAGCAGCTGCGTCAAAAACCAATCGCAACTTGCCCGGCTTATTAGGGTTGGCAACGGCGAAGTGTGGCAAGTACCAGGTTGTCGACGACGACAAGGCAGCATCTGCTGGTGACAGCTTACGCGCATAACCCTTAGCTATGTAGGACTCTATGATGCGTTTATATTCATCAGCGAACACACCATCGCGACTCATTTTCTTTTC